AGTTAAAGGGACAGATTTTCGTTGTCCCGTTGCAAACCCATTTGTATGTGGTTTAAGGGAATGAAACAGGGCTCTGGACATGGATTCCAGGAGAGAGCAGATTGCTGCTTCTGCACGACGGAGGTACAGAGGTCTGGATCTCACATCAGCTCTCCCGCCTCTGAGCCTCGGGTGGCTTCCTGGGCCTGCGAGCCTGTTCTGTGCTGGTGTTTCCTGTGTCCCTCAGAGGCCACCAGTCGCACCCGTAGACTAGGTGGGAGAGTCGGCCTTGGAGCTCTCGCTCTCCATCCCTCATGTTCAGTGCTACTGGATCCGCCCCCCTTGTCTCTGAGGCCTTTGCTTAGTTTGGATGGCACCGGTTGTACCCAGATTGTGCCCACAGGATGGTAACCAGTTCCCTTCTCTCCAGGATGTCTCCTGCCTATCTCAGTAATGAAATGAAAAACTTATTGCTTGAATGCCTATAATCCTAGCACTCTGGGAGGCTGAGGCAGGAGGTCTTTGAGTTTTAGCTTTATCCTGGGCAGGTTAGTGATTTAGGGAGACACTGTCTCAAAATAAAAATAAAACGGTCTGGAGATGCAGCTCACTATGGACCCTTCAGCTACAATCCTCAGCACTGGAAAAAAAAAAAAAAAAAAAAACAGTGACTTTTAAAACATGAAAATAAGTGAAACACTCTGGCTCTCCCCTAGCCTTCATGGTCTCGCCCCTCCTCCCGCTCAGCTTCCTTTGTCTCTGCTTGTTGGCTTTGCTACTCAGCCGCACTGGTGGGTGTGCAGGTCACACGGTGGGTGCTGCCTTTTCGCACCAGTATCTTTGCAATGCTCATCCCTACCTGGAAAGCCTTCCTGCCTCTCACAGCTACTTTGAATTCTTTTGGAACCTTTGTGATCCCCGCTGGTAATCCTTGAGGCTTATGTCTAATGGCACGGTATCACTCCTTTAGTTCAGGGTAACTTTGATGGTAGAATTTCTAAACTTAACTGCCTAACAGCTTTGGGTTTTTTTTTTTTGGGGGGGGGTTACTTATTATCAGAAAGCTCAGACTTTGTAACAATTGACTTCTAAGCATTTTTCAAAGTGTAGTAATGTTTCCCTGTGGATATAAATGAAAGAAGGAAAACATTCTGCTTGGCTCAACTGTTTTAAAGGGGATATCTTTTTCCAAGACTAGAGTTGTATTTTTCATTTTTATATAACTTTTATATACTAAACATTTCAAATATAGGCCAATAGAACTTCTTCATCTACAGGGATACTATTTTTATGTAAACCATATGTGTTTTATCACATTATTCAGAAAATCTATTGGCACATTACCCTACAACATGGAAATATTTATCATAAATGAAGTTTGAATGGGATACAAGCCTTTAAGTTAATATATGGCCAAGTTGAGCAAGTGTTTTAGAACCATTGTTTGTTGCCTTCTTATCTAGTTATGGATATGCTAAGTGTTATCTTTCTGGGAATCCAGCTTCTTAAATACCAGGGAAGAGGCAGGGGGTGTAGCTCAGTGCATGCACAAGGCCTCGGGATTGACGCTCCAGCACTGGAAAAGCAAACAAACTACTAAACCTGACAAAGTAATTCATTAACTACAATTGTGGTCACTGGTGCCCTATAAAGCCCTCCTTTTTTAATTTACGATATCTTGGAACAATAGCAGAGGCAGAACATTATTTTATGTTAGGATAAACAGAAGCATTACATCCATTTAGCATAAAGTGTTAATCAAGTTTGTTTGTTTTTAAAGAAAGCTTTAACCGATGTATAAAAGCATGAGTTGGAGTGTGGTTGAGTCTGTAGGGTGAAGTGTCACTCTCAGCAGGGTGTCCTGCTGGGACCCTGGACGCTATTCATTAGAAGCTGCTTTCTTAATTAGAGCAAATGGGACCTTTATCATGACCACAGTCTGGTACTGCAGCATCGTGAAAAGAATCAGTGGAAATTTCTAATTGTTGTCACACCTATTACTTGCATGAGTTGCTGCGGGGCATAGATTTCCTTTCTGTGGAAGATCTGCTTAGTCTGTGGTTCACACAGGGCCCAGAATGCTCTCTGAATGTTTTCTGTGGGCGCCAGGGCATTTGCTGGGTGCATGCCACGTGAGATGACTATTTATTCTCTGTCATCAAGTCACAGTGGTTGAGTGAATGCCTAATACTTGCCTGGACTCCATTGTGATAGGATACTCATCATTTATAACTTTTCTGAAATTTGAACACAAGTTATTTTTTAGATCCTGAAATTTATGCATAGTTGGTGAGGATTCAAAAACAGCACCTTTCTGCTTATAATGTCATTGGCTGAGCATAGTTCTGTCCCACCTCATGCCCACCTAAGCGAATTCCCATGTTCTCCACTACCTTAGACTTGCCTCATCACCTGGTTTTCCTCTCTAAAAGTCCCTGGAAGAGACAGCTTGCTGGGGACCACCCACTCAGGGCCCCCCTCCTGTCGCTTTCTCAGACAGAAGCTTTGTTGCCCTCAAGAAATATGTTCTGGGGGCCAGGTAGATGGCTCAGTAGGATAAGTGCTTGACTGGCAAACGCAAGGATCTGAGTTCAATCCCTGGTTCTGCAAAAAAAAAAAAAAAAAAGAATGTTCTGCTCATAACCTCCATTGTTCCTAAAATTCATTCTTCGGTTTTAGAGAACACGTCCTCGTCCCGGGTACCTTTCAGGTCGGGAGTTTCGTTTTTCCCCCTGTATCATTTGTAGGTCATCCATCAACATCATGTGTTCCCTATGTCACTATTACTTCCTTAAGTTTAATTGCAGATAGTATTGTTTTCCAGAACAACATCCTGTGGACGTGGTTCCATCGTTGGTGATAAAGTCTTTACATACAGATATCATCTGATTCACCACCTGAAATTTTCCAGTAAAACGGTGTGAATCACATAAAAAAAAAAACAAAAAAAAAAAACAGCGCCTCTCAATCACATTGAAGAGTAGAAAGCATCCTTATTTGCTACACGAACGAGAGTGCCAGCCTCCCTTCCTTGAGACGCCTGATTCTTACTAAATCAAACTTTCCATTGGGTTAGATTTTTATGTAGGGATTCTCACCATAACAGCAGATATCTTATGGTTCTTTCCTTATCACCTTTCAGATTTTCCGATGGATTCTAGTAACGGAAACTGTAGAGGGGCCAGCAGTGGTGAGTAGACCGGTGTTGTCCTGGTTTTTCATCTGGGGTCCTTAGTCTTTGATGCAACCTACATGTTGAAGTCTTCTCCAGAAGTTTGTGCCCCAATATCTTAAAAGTCAAGTCAAAAGTTATTTCTTGGGCCACTTCATTCAGGACCCCTCTTGAAAATCTAGGAGCTATTCTTCTTCTCTTTTTTCTAATAAAACTTCCCTAACCTCCTTCCCACAAGTCACTTCTTCATTTGTATTTTCTGTTTAATATTAGGATATAATAAAATTGACCTCTTCTTTGGATCTAGTCCAGTAGTTTTATATCTGGAGTTTTAATGTGTGTATATTCATGTAGTCACCAACATGGGCAGGATACAGAACAATTCTATCAGCCCCCAAAATGTCTTCATACCACACCCCTTTATAATCACATGTTTCCCCTGCTCTGAGCCACTGGCAGTCATTCAACTGTTGTCTGTTCAATATATGAGTGTCTTTTTGGGATTGCCATAGAAGAAAAATAAAACAGTATTGTAAGCTTCCGAGATTGGATTTTTTTCACTCAGTAAAATGTCTCTGAGAGTCCCAAGATGTCACTTGTATCAATAGCCCATTCCTTTTTGTGGTTGAAATTTTATTATTTGGATACATTTCTATTTGTGTACTTATTTACTCATAGAAGGGTAGCTAGGTTTTGTTTGTTTTTATTTATGTTAGCAATTATCACGAGGGCTGCTACAGTCATTCATATATAGGGTTTGTGTGAATATGAATTTTCATATGTGGGAATAGGTTTGCTGGTTACATGGTAAGTACGTTTCACTTTATAAAAATCTGTCAAACTGTATCCAAAATTGCTGTAGAATTTTGCACTAATACGAAATGTATAAGAATTCCATTTGCTCTGTATTCTTGTTAGCACTTGGTATTGTCAGCCTTTTAAAAAAAAAAAAGTTAACCATTTTAGTAGATGTATAATTCTAACTCAGTACTTACATTTCCCTAAAATGATGTTGAATACCATTTCCTGGTCTTATTTGCCAAGAAATAAATTCTTTCTGGTGATTTTTTAAATTTTTATTTTTAATTTTTTATTTTTGGCAGAACCAGGGATTGAACTCATGCCCTTGCACTTGCCAGGCAAGCACTTATTCTACTGAGCCATCTCCCCAGCCCCTCTGATGATTTTTAGTCCTCTTATTTTGTTTGTTTCTAAATAATGAGTTTAGAAATACAAAGGATGGTCTTTTGGTTTCATTCATATTCTATTTCCAATTTTTTTTTTTTT